AATTGAAAGTTTACACTGGATCTAAATTAAATCGAGCGAGTACTAAATACAGTCAAGATATACGGTTTTGGAAATTTCTTTTGACTCGCAAGTTTCGTTTTTTTTTGCACGTGCTTTCAACTAAATTGCATATTGTGACGTCAAAAGAGTTCGAAACTAACGTAAAAAGATTAACAAATAGTTATTGAGATGGATCTTCGGTGTGAGTTTCGGAAAGGCATTCTTTTACGAGTTCGGTTTTGTCATGCTTTTGTACGCGAGAAAGAGAGAGAGAGAGAGAGGAAAAAGGGATAAGGGGGCAAGTCGTGTTCCCGCGGGTCTCCTAGAGCATAATAAATGTCCATCTATCTGGTCGTCTCTTATTGCGTTCCGGCGATATGGCATAAAAGAAAAGTGAGAAAGGGAACCGAGAAAAGGTAAAAAGGTTGGTTGCGCGGTGGTAAGGTTTCCTTTACGCGAAAAGGAATAAGAGAGACGCGCGACGATAAGATGTGGAGAACGACGCGCGAAGACAGGCGCTTGTATATGCATCGTGTTACGTAGATTGCGGGAAGAAGGGATAAAGAGGAGGGAAAAAAGGTCATTGTGAAGAAAAAAGCTATACGGCGAAAAAACCTATTTTACGTCACAGCAGTTCATCCCCTCGAACGAGAGGAATTTTTAACGTCACTCCGAAAATAACGCTCCGTACCCTTTTTGTCGCGATTAGCTCTCTGGTGTTTCTTTTCGATGTGAATAATATATTAAAAATATGACAATGTTGCGTTCTGTTCTCAATCGAAAAAGATCCGTTTGCAAAAATTTAATCACACTTTCAATTTTACATCGGATCTCCGCTGCGAAAATAAAAAAAACGATAATGCGGTAAATAAAGTAAAGAAAATAATCGACGACATGGAAAAAAAAAAAACTCATAGCGATGGATATACTTGATGGAAAAAGAAATAAATATCTTTTACAAGAGAGAAAAAGAACGTACACACACATACGCGCACAGATACACACGAACGATATTGCGGAACTGCTCGTAAACGAATAAATCGGTACACATTCCAAGTGGAAACGGAGTAACTCGGTGTACTCTGTCCACTAGCAGTTGTAAAAGCGAAACGATGCTTACGGCACAGAAAAAGGTCGGCAGTATCAATAAGGAGCTAGACGGCGAGAGGAGTATGAGCGGGAGAGATAAAAGCGCCGCACTTATTGCTAAATCATGAACGAGCATAGTAGAAAACGGCGCGACGGTTCTTTTTACGATGACGCAAAAAGGCGCAGAAAATGGTCACGTAGAGAGATCCGGGAGATAACATAGGTAAATATAAAGGGAGAATAAGGTAACGGGACGGACAGATAAAAGCCAGAAAAATAATGCGGCTGATGGTAATCCGGTCGTAGTTGAAAGCCGGCGCGTTCGCAAACAAATTAACAAAGTCCCGCGCGCTGACTTAATGAAAATATGGAGTCAAGTTTAACGAAGAACAAAAACTTGGGCAAAACAAAGAGAGAGAGAGAGAGAGAGAGAGATAGATAGAAAGAGAGAGAGAGAAAGAAAAACAGAGAAAAATAAATTCAAAAAAAAATAAGTTGCAATAAAAAATAATAGTGTAATAAAATAAAAACGATAACAAAAATATTAGAGCTACATGTAAACACTACACGCGAGAGAGAGAAAAGATAAATAAATTCTGTGCGAGAGAAACATATTTGTTTTTTTTTGTTTGTTTTTTGAGCTGTTAGAATAAAATATGTGCGAAAAACGCACTTTAAAGAATACACACGCCGTCTTCGAGACACTTTTCTTTCGCGAATAATGAGATCTCCGAACGTAACATGGAAAAACAACGGCGGAATAACGGGGAGAGAATAAACGCGGGAAAATGCCGAGAGAAGGATCTCAGGTAAATGTTGCGAGGTACATCGGGCAAAGCCGAATGGCATTCGAATGTCGTTAACCGCGGCAAAGAATTGCGCAAACGTGCAATCGTGCATGCATTTGGAGAGAGAGTTCGCGAGCACAGACGGAAAATCACGTATAAACGGATCCAGACAAATCGCGGCGAATACGAGGAAAACGCGGCGACGAAGTGAACCGGAACGGCGAACTAAGGGGATGATGATAATGATTGTAAGCTTATAAAAGCGAGGCACGCGTGGCACACACACACACACACACACACACACGCACACGTCGAGGAGGGATGCGAGAAGGGCCGCTCTTATTGCGGCTAAAAATCGATGTCGCCCGCCTCGGCGGACAGATAAAGAGAAAAGCGAAAAATAAACGCAAGAGAGCCAGCAAGCGGAAGCATACTAAAAGTAAGACAATAAGTCGGGAAACGGGACTAGATAAAAGAGCAAAAGTTTGACTTGAAAACTCCAACGTAACGCCGACAGTTGTCATATCTTTCTGGTTGCCGCATTGTTGTTGCGAGTGATGCACAACTGTTGTGTGTTGAATATAAATGCGGTTTCCCGCGCGCGAGTTAAATGTGATACCCGGACTAAAAAACATTTGAGAGAAACAAAGTAAACAATTTAAAAAAGAAATTAGAAACAACAATAAAATAAAAAAAAAAAAATATGTTAGGGGTTACATTAATACGACGCGAAATACGCGCGCGTTGTAAAAGGGGGAAGACAATTAAACACACGCAAAGGAGAATTGAGACGAGATTCTCTTTACGAAAAGATGAAAACAAAAAAGAAAACAAAAATATATATATATATATCGCGTTGATCGTTTAACGTCGAAACGTGAGACGACAATAAAGAATGATGAGGGAGTTGTATATTGTTAAGATGTTAAAAAAAAAAAAGAAGAACGGATAAGAAATTATATATTGTGTAGGAGATATAAAAGATCTCTTTTGACTGAAGAGCCCTGAGGTAAGAAGTTGAGATAAAATAATGTAGGGAAGAGAAGAGAGAAAAAAGGCGGCGTGAAAACTGAAACGCGAGGGGAAAAAGCAGACGGGAACGTGATGAGGGACTTCAAGTTTCTAAAGAACGAAGTGTTGTCATATATATATATATATATATATATATATATATATATACATGTGTATATATATATATAACCTTCCTGTTTTCAAGAGCGTTGGCAAAATGGTACACCGTCAAAAGATCGGTAATACACAATCTCTCCGCTCTTTTGGTCCAGCGTTTGTTTAATGTACCGTGTACTTACTTTAGGAGACAAAAACTACGATATCGAAAGTGTTGCGTCTCAAATACAATAAACATAACGTTTGACGAACGCGGAAACAAACGTGTGATTTTATCCCCCCCCCGCGTCAAATGCCGCGTCTAAGAGACATTGCGACAAATTGTTACAATTACCCTCTCGCACAATTCAAGATTGCGAGCGAGACAAATTCGCGGTTCTTCGTGAATTACACGGCGCGCATTTTGAAACGATAAACAGGAAAACGTGGCGGAGGGGTAAGGAGAGAGAAAGAGAGAGAGAGAGAGAGAAATGTATAAAGACGCGGGATAACGTTGAGAGATACGACCGTAAAGACGGATAAGTTGGTGAAAAATGAAATGGCCGAAGCGACGCGCATCCGCCAAACGAGGCGAGACGTCTTCTCCTCGAGGAGGAGAAAAGGGGGTCCTTGACGGTGTTCCGCTTTAAAGATAACGAAGCGAGTTTCTTCGCGGAACAAAGCTTGATAACCGCCGTCACGTTGGTCGCGGAGTGTTTGCCGAGACTGTCTCCAACAGTGCGACAGGAGCGACAGGTGGCTCTCTCCGTGTGCCCGCTTTTTCACCCTTTCTCACGCTTTCTCCGTCCCTCCCTTTTTCGCTCTCTCTCTCTTTCTCTCTGTCTGCCATTTCTCCATCCGTCATCCTCCTCCTGCCGCCGCCGCCGGCGGCGGCGGGCACGCTCGCACCGTTGGCACTCGCTCGGGGGTGTGATTTAAAGTGTAAACTTAAATATTCCAGTTGGTACCTTCGTGCAAATAGATTCGATATTAATGGAGTTTCAGCACCTCGCCGGAAAGAACAAAGAGAAGATGACGCGGATATCCGAATATCCGCCGCAACGAAAATCCTAATGGCGAGAGTCGAGCCACTTCGTCTGATATATACTTTGCTTAATTAAACGAGAGACAAAAGATACAAGAAAAAAAAAAAAACTGCTCGATAAAATAATTTTTTTATCGATTGAAATCGAGACGAGATTGAGCTGGAACAAGGAATCAGAAAGTTTGCGCGCGCAACAATGAGAAAATTTGACACAGAGACTTTTTCGAGGAAATATCTTAAATACATAAAGTGATTTTCGCGTCGGACAATTCTTACCGGTTTATCTTCTCGTATATCGAGAAGACTCTGTCGAAGAAATCGCGAGTTATCTTCTTCGACGCAGCGCGAGACACGTTTCAATCTGTCTTTTTTTTTTTCGCGTCGTCGTCTTTTTCCACTTTCGAACGATTGATTTATGGACGGGCGAGTTGACGACGGGACACGGCGAAGCCAAGTGTCCCAGTTCGAAATAATTAACTACCGATTTTTGTTCTCATATCGAGTGTCCTGTGTGATGGAAACTTACCTGTTCTCTATTGATGTGCTCTGTTGAAAAAAGGAGATGTTTCGTGTCAGAGATTTGGAGACAGAGCAAATCTATTAAGGACAAATCAATATTACAGACAACTGATTCCTCTCAGTTTTTTTTTTTTTTTGTTTTTTCAGAAGGGGCTGTAATTAATTTTCTCTTGTGCGCGATTTGAAAAAACGAAGAAGCAAATTCCATGGGTTTTCCGTAGATTAGTTTTTCTCGCAGAAAAAGTTAATGAAACACAAAAATTTTTTTTTCTCCTCATCAAAAAACAAACTTCCCCCAATGACTCCGCACAATCTTCTGATCTTACTGGTACAATACTTCATTTCGTGAGAGGGAAGAGGATGTGAGACACATGAGTGAAAAATGAAATAGACCGTCGTATATTAGAGAAAAATAAAGGAAGCTTTATTCTTTACATACCATAGCAGGCGACACGAGTCGGCCGGCGCGTCGTAAACGGGAACGACAAATGCGTAAACGACGTGAACGCGCGCGTCACCGACAACGCAGAGATATAAACGAATATCGGTAGGAAGATCGGGCCGATAGTGGGTCTTGGGGTACACGGTAAGGTTAGTAAGAAGGGGTCCTTCACATCGCGCGGGATCGTATGATACACACACTGTCTCTTTTGCCTCGTCTCTTTGTTTTCTTTCTTCGCTCGTAGGTCGTCGTTCATCCCGGCTTCTTCAGGTCACGCCAAGATCGCCGCCAGTTTGTGCAGATTGGTTATGGTCGTCGCATCGCCCGGCTGCAATCTGAGCGCCTCTTTGTAAGCCGCCGCAGCCTGCTTGTACTTGCCGTTCAAGTGAAGAATCGCGCCGAGATTCGTGTGACTGCGAGCCTCGTGCGGCCTCAAACTGGCCGCGTGCCGGTACCAGATCTCGGCCTCCTCGCGACGATCGGCTTGTCTCAGAGCCGAGGCCGCCGCGACCGACAACTCGTAATCGGATCGTGACAGCTCGGCCGCTCGCAGCTGCTCCTCGGCGGCTTCCACCAGTCGGTTCTGCGACGTCAGGAACAGCCCTGAAGAATTGTGCAAAAAACATGTTGCGTGTTGTTTCGCGTGATACGGTTTTCTCACTGGTTTTGTTAGTGTTTTAGTAAATTGCTCTAAAGAAATTTGTTTGATATTGTAGATCTATTTTTGATTATATTTTTAAACAATTTTCCGTCGAGAACAATATGTATTTTTTTTTTTTTGGTTAATTACATATAAATTAATCGCGTCTGATTTTTTTAAAACATCATTACATTAATATAAGAGACATTTTATTGAAAAGAATGAAAAAAAAAAAAAAAAGATTGCGCGGCACAGAGATTGCACGCGGCTAGAGTTTTTTGCGACCAGAGTGAAGCGTCGTCGCGGAATTTCAATACCCGTCGATCTATTTCTCCCCGATCTAACCCCTTGCATCTCGGAACCACTCGCCTCCGAGGGTGCGCTCCCTGCTCTGTTCCCGTCTTCCTTTTCGATTAGCCCCCGTCTGCCTCTCTTCTCTCGCGCTCTGGAATCTACTATCATCCCGCAGGAAATATTACAGCAGTATTTATAGCGGCTCGACGAATCTCGACGACTCGATCCTCTTATCTCCCTCTCCTATTAAGCGAGCAGCTCTTCGAATCTTGGTTCTTTGATTTTCTCCCGGCGCGAGAGACACAGACTCCTCGAAGAGGGAAACTTCGAGGAGACTTTCTTTTCAGAACAAATTCGGGGATCGGGAATCAATTATACCGTTGTTACAATAGGATCTCAGATTGCGGCAATCGGGAAACAAAGATGAGGGGGTGCGAAGACGGAGGGGGAGGAGCTGCTTAAGAGAGCGTATTTCATTGCTTTAATAATGAACGAGGATCCGTTATCGCCAGCGACGGCGACGACTACAAATACGGGCATTAGATATTTAAATTGCGATGCGGTCGGGAAACGGAAAGTGAACTCCCCCCAACCCCCCGAGCGCGCGGGAGAAGAAAGGCGATGATGGAAAAACGAGACGGAGGCGGTAATCGGAGACGCCTACTGTTGAATTCTCCGAACGGGTCATGACAACGAGGACGCGTTCTTTTGCGGTCGCAATTAAAAGGGCTTTTCACTCGAAGAGAGCCTTACCGTAATGATGGTGAACGCTGGGATCGTCCGGCGCCAACCTGCGGGCCCTCAGGAACCATCTCTCCGCTTCCAGGACACGGCTCGACTAAAGAGAGAGAGAAAGCAGAGGCGACTCGTGAGCCACCGCGAACCCCATAGCCCCGTCTGTCCCCCCTTCCCCCGGGCGGTTGTTACCGGTTGAGGAGCTTGTTCTATTGCATTGGACAATATTTTTTTCAATACATTTTTATATCTCTATGCAATTGTTGTCGCTGAATGCAAATGTATCTCTCTGTATAAAAAAAAAATAACTGCAAAACTACAAATCTCGAAGATGATTATTTTACATATTGAGAACGAACGAATCCCCTCATCAAATAATTACAAGCATCAAATTTGTTTTTGTTATAGAAATATGTCACACCTTTTTTTTTTGGCCGATTCAATTCAATCTGCAATGTTCGCTCGCAAAAGCAAATGTCACAGAGCGAAATGACACGTTCGACACACGAGAAAAAAATAAATTTACATTCAGCGTTTCCAAAAAACAGAAAAAGAAAAACAATCTCTCGCTTTGTTTTCTATATCGAAATTTTCTGTATCATCATCATCATCATGTTCGATCGTCAAAATCGTCGAAATTAAATCAATATATCCGATACAAGAGTACATAAATATAAATACATTTTCGAAGATGCAAAGCCGGGAGAAGCGGGGACACTTCGAATTGACCTGCAAACGTGTACGTTTGCGTATCGCGCGTTATATATTGCGTATATCGCGACGAAAGTTTCTTATTTCAAGTTATAGTGACGGCCAATACGCAGTCAGACTTGGAAAGTAGATTGCGATAAGATGAGACAGAGCGGCGGATGTCTTAAAAGCAAAACGACGACGACGACGACGAGGGCAGCGGCGGCGGCGGCTACTTACGTTTCGTGCCAAAAGTTTCCCGTAAGTGATGTGAGCCGGCACGTGGTCAGGCTGGCTGGCCAAACTCGCTTGGAACCACCTCTCCGCTTCCGCGTACTGTTGCAGCCTGGACAGCGTCTCGCCCAGCAGATTGTACACGCTCTGTGGAAGAAAAAAGAAAATTTATAATAATAATCGCCAGGCAGATGGCTCCTTCGACGTCTCATCTGATTTTCGTTCGTTATATTATCGAGAAAATTTAAGAATTCTGTTATTATCTTACAAAGTGTATCCCGAATATCGTCCATCACTATCTCTTCTCTCGTTTAAAAACTCGAATTTTTCGACCGAAACTTTGACGACGCGACTTTTTCTTAAACGAAAATTTGATTACGCGCCTTGCCTCAAACTCGCAATTCTTGAACGTTGTCATTAACACCGTAATTAGATCTTTTTTTTTTTTTTTTTTTTAAACAGAGTTCATTTATATTTAAATGAAGAGAGCCAGGTTTTTCGCCAGCCATTCGCACCGCGAAACTCGATGCGGTGAAAATCTCGAGATTTTTCGATAATTTATGTTGTAACAAATTTGGATCATTTATACTTTTTTCTCATTCTCATTCTCTCTCTCTTTCTCTCTCTCTCTCTCATTCGCGGGATTTAAAGAATTGGATATTTAAGGTTTAATCTCTCTCCCGTTTGCCTCACACTATTCAAATATATGCAAACACATCGTGGTTAAAGAACGCTCGTGAACGATCGGAAAAAACACGACCGAGAATTGCGTTTGCGAGGAAATCACGTGTGCGGATCGAAGCGCGAGATAGCTCGTTAGCGTGTCGGAGAGCGCGAGAATTATGCTAATAAATCCGACAACTAATAAATTTGCCGACAACTAATTCACAAAGCGCAACAAATTGCCGCGACGTATATATATATATAAGCGAACGCGCGTGTGTATATATACGCGTGTTTTAATACGTGTTATAATATAATAATAAGCTTCTAATTATCTCCAATTTAGAAAATGCGATTGCGAGCGCCATGTACGCCGATGTACGCCGCTGATGTCGCCCGATTAATTACGCTTCAATGTGTATGTGTGAGAGATCATATCCCCCGAAATTTCTATACGCGACGCGACGCAAACGCCGACGAAATAAATCCGCAATGTGGCGCTACGTGACACGCGCGCGCGATTATTACGACATAAATAAGAAAGATAAGATAAGGAGGAAATAAATAATATAATGTGTCTCAGAAGGGATTTCTTGCTATCTCGAGACGGTTTATTGATTTTTCAAAACGACGGGCGAGAGACGCGATTATAATTACAAAGAAGACAGGAACGTCGATACGGGCTTTGCGTCGCGTCGCGTCGCGCCGCGATATCGACGTAATATCGCACTTGCTAAATTGATTGATATTAAAAAAAAAAAAAAAAATCGAACGCGAAGTTTTGTCAGAAACAAAAATTGACTCCGAAACTCTTCGCGAAGAAACGAAACTATATTCCGTTTTTTTTTTTTTTTTTTTTCACGGAGCTCTTCTCTATCCAAACGCACACACCCCGAAGAAAGAAGTAACAAAGCGATCGAGAGGCGTCACGAAGCGACTAACATCGAAAACCTTCTTCCCGGGCACACACATGAGAGACCGCAGTTTCGCGTCTCTCTCTCCAAGTTGTAGTAGCCTAAAACTTTTATGATTTTGTTCGAGCCGAGCCGTCGGGGGGAGAGGGCGAAAGTCTTTCACGGGTGGAGAAGACAAATGGCGGGGCGCGAACGAGAGACAGGAAAAGAACGACCTCGAATATCCCCCCGACTCAGTCGTCAGACTCGATTGCCTCGTGATTCAATGGATTCTCCGCGGTTTTCTCTCACTCGAAATGTCTCGCGGGAAATTGCCGCGCTATTGCGCACACACACACACAACGACGGCGTGTGGCCGCGAAAAAAATTGCGTAACGTAATTAATTAGATATTCTCTCATCTTTCGCGAGCGCATTTGTATCAAAATCTCGAAACTGCTAATTGATAATAATTTTAATCGCGAGATAAAAAAAAAAAGAAAAACAAAACGAAATTTTTGCAAACGGAAAATATGTCAGACGGAATAAAATTCAAATTTCGCGACAGTTTTTTTCAATTTCAATTTTACAAAATCATACGTCATAATCACACACACGCGTTGTTTTTTGTTGCGAAAATGTGTTGTTCGTCATACGTTGCTGTCGCGAATCGCAAGACGGGGGAATAACAATTACATTAGCGGCGCGCTATAATGAGTAAAAATGAGGTCGAATAAAAATTCCGATGCGCATCAGTTTCCGCATAATTATTTCGAAACGCGGCGAGAAACTTCTCTCTTCTTCCACCTGCGTGCGTTACTCCGCGAGATGTGCTCTATTTGTTTCGAGATTCGAATGCAACCCGGCTGGTATCGCATTTTTTTTTATCACGTGCGCAACGTATACACACGTATATCAAACCGCGCGCACTTCAGCGCGCGATTATACTCGCGACGAATGTTGTCGCTTTGTGATCGCGATCGTTACCCCCCTTCTCTCTCTCTCTCTCTCTCTCTCTTCCGCTCGCGTAACAAAAATGCGTGTGTGACTTCTGAATGGGAAACACGCGCGCGCGGAGAATTCAGTTGCATATATTCCCCCCACCGTCAAAGAATGCGGCGCTGCACGGCCAGGCAAAGTCTCTCGCAAAGCGGACCAGCGGTGCCCGCATGCGCTCGCATTGTTCGTAGTCATTATTCACTTGGACTACTTTTCAAGGATGTTGCGCGCACTTGCTTAGGCGTAATGCTCACTCGAGCTCGCGGTTCACAAAGCAACGCCTCTACTACTACCGATCGCTCGCTGCGGCTTTTATGCATCCGAAGAGGTTCTCACGCCTTTCTACGCCCAGCCGAGAAATAATGATGTCGGGTCGCATCCCATTTACCGTAACATCACGATACGTGCGCGTATACGCGCGCGATGGATGCATTTTCGAACAATGCCCGTAGATTGCTGCTCTTCGACAAAAAGTTATCAAAAAAAAATATTCGCGATATTTAACACATCGAATTTTTATCAAGTTTTTTTTCTAAGTGTGAAAAAGAGCGATTGTCGATACGTAATATATTGAAAAAAATGAGCATTTTCTGCTCGCAAACGAATTAAATTCTCCGATAACGTCGGAGTCAATACGGTAACACAATGCTTTTATATACAATAGTTTTTTTTTTGTTTTTTTTTGTTTTCACACTCATAAGCTTAATTGCAATCCTTAATTGCCGTGTTTTTGTTTATGATTGTTTAACCTAAGCATTAAGCAAACACACACGAGTGTTTTTCAATTACGCTTTTCATCGTTCAACAGATCCATCAGAAATATTGTAATTATAAAATGCCTATCGCTCGCTGTGCGCGCAGCACATTCATCGTGTAATTACTCCGATACCCCCGCATCGGATGTTTACATTTGTCTCGCAGAGTCGACGAGTATTCGGCAATTTCAGCGATTGACTAGAATGTATACTACATGGCGCACAGCACGATGAATGTTTAATCAAGCCTCGTGCGCGCGCGCGCGCATGTGTGTGTGTGTGTGTGTGACGCGAGTCAAACGGAAACCGTTTTGACTTTTCAAAAAATAATAGGGTGTATTTTTTGCGACCCTGTCATCGCCGGAACCGGCCGCCGCGGTTGTGTACATTTCATGGGCACCGTGAATTAATATTGCCAGATCGATGAATAGTTAAGTGTGAACACGTCCGAACATTTGTGTTCCCGACTGATATATCAAACCGATCGGAAATGCGCGGCTCGCGCATTAGCGCGGGACACATTTAAAATCGCTTTACTATTAATTCCGTTTTAAATGATCTCGCGCACCCGTGTCGTGTTTACGTGCGTCTGACGTGTGTATACAAATATATATATATATATATATATATACAACGTCAATTATCGAAGTCAGGTTTTGAACACGAATCGCGGAAATGAATTTTCTGCGCGCGCGGTTGCGATCATCGTTTTTGCGTTTTTGACATTACGAAACAATTAGTTGTACAATAATAAATTGCGTATACGTCGTCGGTCTTACGTCAAGAACGATCAATTGATCAAATCGAGTTCACTAAATCGATAAGAGCCTCAGCTTATAGACATACGACGACAGACAACGACTTGTTGTAAAACAGATTTCAATCTCAGCGATTTTTCAAAAAGCTTTTTTTTCTCATCGTTACTCGTGAAATACTCGCAAAAGTTATGCAAAAGAGAAGCATTTGCTGTAACATAATTATCTCGAATATTAATTGAACAGTATCATCCGATCCGCAAAATAATTGCAAGAGTGAGAAATTGTTGTAACGTACAAAAGTCTTTCGTCAGATTTCGTTAAATTAACACGGGAATAATTGCGCGAAGAACTTGCGCGTTTCGCGGAGCCGATAATTACGTCGAATCGTGCGTCGGCACGAAGTCACCTCTGCTGCTAATACTGCGCATTCCAGATTCCGCTGATTGTCTGAACAGGATAATAGAGCGAGAGAGAGAGAGAGAGAGAGTGAGTGAGTGAGTGAGTGAGTGAGAATGCGGAGGATGCAGGTGGCTGAAGACGTTGCGGCGCCGCGGCCGCTCGACATCTGCATACTGTCTCTCGCTACGGAACAAACAATTAGGACAGCGCAAGCCGAACGGGGCAATTAGACTGACAGACTACGTTCGAAAGCCGGCTAAAAGGAAGGATATACGCGCGATAGACAAGAGAACTAATCGCTGGGAATAATTGGATTAAAGCGACGCGCAGTTACGCGCGCGCGCCGTTTCCATCTGTGCGAGTCTCTCCTCTGCTCGCTCTCAGCCGCAAAACCGGAAGTAAGTTGGCAACATGATATCGCACGAAGCGTAAATTGCCAAAGGAGAATTGTGCCAATATACGTATATAAATATTTTATATATTTAAAATCAGGTTTGAATCGTCACAAAGCAAACACAATTCATTGCGAAATCAATGAATCAATTTGATCAAAATAATTCAACTTCTCAATGTGTTTCAGTTTTTCGCGCACGTATTTCGAAGAAATACGTTTAGATTGCAGAGATCTTGCGACACGTTATTTTTACAAAAGTCATAAAAGAGTAGCGTAATAAAAAATTG